TTTACACTGTGAAGGTTGTAGTTTTAAACTCTTTATGAGCAGAGACTGACAAAGACTTGATAAATGGCTAAATATTTTATACATGTGAGTTTGATGAAGATCTCCTGCACAGATGTCTGATAAAGATGACTCAATTTCTATTTGGTGTCCACTGTGGTGGATAAAAGAAATGAACTCGATAAACCTCAGTTGTCCTTACTTGAATATACAAGTTCATTACAACATGGATCTGTTGACAGAGAAGATTGTTGGGCTAACGCACATGCTGACAGCTAAACCAAAAAGTACAATAGAAGCATTTCAGTATTATACTAAATAGGAGGGAGCAGATATTAGTCTGCAACACTAAGTTATGACAAGATGTCCATCATGCTCATGTGATGCAGACTCTCAAGGTGCACCTTATCAAAACACCAGAGACGGGATGAAAACACAGTATCACTATGAGGATAACTGCTGCAAAACCACGTAACAGTTTCCTGTTCACTCAGTGTCCATCTGTTTTCACTGCCTGGTAAGAACTGTCATGTTCAGCTGGTATCCTCATGTATGTGAATCAGACCTCCTGGAAGGAATCGAACTGAGCGATAGCATGATAGCATTAATTTAGACAACAATTTTGTTTATCACAGTTCACAATATGAAAAGATCCCAAACATAAATGTTAATACTATGATTTGTCCATAAAGTATGGCTGTACTTGCTGTAGCCAGCTTCTGACAGCCAAAGACACACACACACACACAAACACACATTAAGCAAAGCACTCAAGAGGAGAAACAAGTGCTGCGAGAGCTAACTGCTGGTATAATGTTTGCTCTTTGGTCACATTTTAACAATCAAAATGGTTTAAGTATAAAATTAGAGCCCTTGTTCTGTGGGCAACCAGGAAAGAAAACCACCACTCTTCAGAAAGGGTGCGGCATGTGGCACCAACTTGTGTAACTAAAATCCAGTCTCTGTAGTTTATACAAATACTTTAAATACTGTTGGAACATTTAGCAAGTGTGTTTACTTTATCAGAGCCCAACTGATATGGATTTTTGGGGCAGAATCCAATACCGATACTGGGGAGTAAAGAATTTCCTAAATCAAACACTTTAGACAAAGAATTGTAACTTAAGTTTGATATTTTACAGTTTAACCATAAACCTTTTTTTAAAATAACTAACTAACGATAAACAAAAAAACATAACTACAACAAAATATATAGAAATTGGAT